TTTTTTATACTTAGTAACCTTTCTGAAGATCTTATACAGGTTATCAAATATTTAGCGGAAAATATGATTATGTTTTACTCATTTGATGTATTATGGCTTTATTTATTTATTTTTTCTCACTTACACGCTTTTGACTCTCAGATTAAAGTGCGTTGTTCATATGGCTTTCTCTAACTATAAAACTGCTGCTTTCCATTGTTTGAATACTTCTGTAACCGATCTGAGGTTCTGTTTTGCAAATTCTGACCATGTTTCTTTCGATTAGTCATTTCTCCTAGTGATACAAATGTCAAGGTTTTGATGCAGACCAAAAATAAACAGAGAACTAGCCAATTTTTCCGGTTATAAACGCTGGCTACGATAGATTCTGAACAGCACATTATTAGAGTTATGGCCTCTTCGATGCTGAATTGAGGCGACTGTCAATGGGACCATTTACACTGTTATGGGAGTTTGTTGGAAAAGTTAAATTACAGAGTGTTATGAAAGAAAGCTGTTAAAAGCAGCTTAAAGCATTCCACATCAAACTGCGCGGCGTTTTACGGTTTCTCGAGGTCTTTTGAACTTTGCTTGTTACCGCGGAGCTAATATAGAAACTTGTCAAGAGGTGTCGGGCGAAGACGGAACAAGGGTTAGCAACCAAAAAAAGTTTCTTCTTCTTGTTGCCGTGTCCTTAATGAGATATTGCGACGTCTTTCGCCTGCCGCGTCTAGCTCTCACCTACTGTGAGCTGCATGTAGATCACCGATCTCAGTTTTTATATGGGACCAATTGCAGCTGCTTTTTCTAACCGTGATGTATTTTTGTAATCCTTCCGATCGTGGTACTTCAGTTGAGGGGTGGAATTTCAAGACGACTGCGCCCTAATCCTGTCGAGTAGAGGTCCACAAACAAGTAAGGAACCTACCACCAGGGCACATTCACCGCTACTTTCCTCATGAAAAGTCAGCCAAAAAAACTTGAATGAGGAATGTACAAGATTCCAAACTAAACTGAACAGCTGCAGTTTGACCACTGCATCCACTACTGTCAAATAGGCAAAGAATTCCGAGTCTCTCTGCAAGTCAAATT